CAAAGCCGCCTATCAGCAGAACATCGCACAAACCTTCAGTGCTAACCACAAACTGCTGTACAAGCATGTTAATAGCCTACGAAAATTGAGGCAAGGGTTTCCTTTCCTCAGGACGGCTGATGGCCCAACAAGAACGTCTATGGAAGCAGCAAACGCGCTGCAGCTGCAATACGCCCCCACGTTTCAAAGGGTCTTGCCACCAAGCGATCTACCAAGCTTTGTATTCTGCTCACCAGGACTAACTCACATCATTTTCGCCGCAGAGGCTGTATTGCAAAAGTTGACTTCTCTATGCAAACACAGCTCGCCGGGTGTCGACACCATTGGTCCAGAGTCAGTGGGAGCAGCAGCAAACCAACTGGCAGGACCTTTAGCTCAGTTTTTCCAGCGCTGCTTAGACCAGAACCAAGTTCCCGCCATGTGGAAGCTTGGAATAATAAGCCCGATTCGCAAAGGTGGAAGCAGAACTGATCCCTCCAACTACCGCCCAATAACCCTTCTTCCTATACTCTCCAAGATCATGGAATCCATAGTTGCCGATGCACTGGTGTGCTATCTGGAAAACCGCAACCTCATCACTCCTGAACAGCACGGTTTCCGTCGACAACGGTCATGTACAACTAATTTACTAATTGCACGCAGTAGTTGGACCGAGGCAGCTGACGCTGGAGAAGGTATTGATATGATCTACCTGGATTTTTCCAAGGCTTTCGATCGGCTAGACCATCGGATACTACTATCCAAGCTGCAGCATTACGGGATCGGAGACCATCCATTAAGCTGGATCGCCAACTTTCTACTTCAACGGCAATTAGTGGTCAGAGTTCGGAGCTCTTTATCGGACCCCATACAAGTTGAGTGTGGTGTGCCGCAAGGCTCAGTTCTAGGTCCACGTTTGTTTTTGGTGTTTATTAATGACCTTGCACAAGGAGTCGCTTCAAACTTCCTAATGTTTGCAGACGATATCAAGGTATGGCGCAGGATCCAGGCGAACGCCGACCAACGTGTGCTTCAGAGTGATTTAGGTACGGTGTATCAATGGTCGACCCAAAGCTTCTTGCATTTCAACGTCAGTAAATGCAAGGTGCTTTCTATCCGACATCAGAGCAGCTACTCATACCGACTCGAAACTGATGTACTGCAACAATCAACTCTCGAACGTGACTTGGGTGTCCTGGTTCAAGATTACTTGGGTTGCTCCAGGCAATCCGAAAAGGCCTCGAAGACTGAGAACCAACACGTAGGGCTGTTGTGGCGGGGGTTTGGACAAATAAACAGCTCCATATTTCGACAAATGCTCAGTGCGTATGTTCGCCCCCATGTCGAATATGCAATTTAAGCCTGGCATCCATGGCTGAAACACGACGTTAATGCACTGGAGCAGCCACAACGCCGGGCATCTAAGAACGTAATTGGAATGCGCAATCGTTCCTACCAGGAGAGGCTGCGACGACTGGGATTGTTCAGTGGAAGCTATCGCAGACTACGAGGCGACCTGATAATGACATACTTGATTCTGCGAGACCCACATCATGTGTGCCGCCCTTTACTGCAACTCAGCAGCAATATAAACCTGAAGGGCCACTCATTAAACCTCGCAGAACAATACAGTCATCTGGAGTGCCGCAGCAATTTCTTTTCCATTTGTGTCTGTCCCCCGGGAAATGCTCTCCCAGAATCAGTCGTCTCTGCATCGACACTAACAGTATTTAAAAGACGGTTGGACGATGCACTCATCCACTTACACTTTGTCACTTAACACTACGTCTCCATCCTACACCTGGAGTTTACCATGGAATTATTTGTTGTTAACTGTGGGTGCTGTGAATCTAGGAGGATCGCAGGACTGCAGCGGAGCAAACAATAAGTCCTTATTTTCATATTTAGTTTGTTAACTAGTTTACTATCCTTATCACCATTATTGTTATGTTAGTATCCCCATTAACTATCCAACGGGACTTGTAAAACAACGCTTCTTAACCCGTGTAAATTCATTGTCCATTGTTCAACTCTAACTCCGTTAAACTGTTACAAACCTTTAGGACACAAAGTATAGCGGATAGGTCACTCACTTAAGATCCAGGCACAACACGTATGTACTTGGGTCCGCCAGCGCTGCATAGTGAATCAATGGGATCCCATCAGAACTGAAGTGTCGCGGTGCGTCTTTATCATCTTGACACCTCACGATACGTTTCGTAGTTGTTTAAACTGTTCACATACGACTAGCATGTGGAGTGGGTGCTGCTGGTTATCCTTTGGTTGTATAACGCTGCCACGCACGACTGCGTTTAAAATGCGCTTCTGTCGAACCAGTAGTACAAAACCTAATGCTGTACATTCCGACGTTTTATGGAAGCACGGGTGCCATAATTACATTTGCTTTATTAACTACACCTTAGCCTTTCACCAGCGCTGGGAATAGTCGCAGGACATATCGTTGGCGGCATCCGGTTTCGGATTTGCCTGTCACTGTGGCCAGCCACATGACGCCTGCGCGTACAGAGGGACCATGGGTGGATTGTGCTGCACCACCAACAGCTCCAACCACATACCCCATATCCAGTGTAAACCCGAAGGAATAGGACCAGGAGGCATGTGGATGGGAGCTACGTTTCATCAACGGAGCCGGCCCACACTCCTTCACAGGCAGACCCAAGCCCACTGTATTTGGGGAATCAAGCGCACACAAGACGATGGCTGGACCATTGGTTGCTCCACACTGACTGCATGGAACCACTCTTCGAGCCTAGCACGGCCACAAGGACCGTGCATCCCGTCCCCTCCAGCTACGACCAACTGTCTCCTGAAGCCAGTATGGACGAGGTAGTGGGTAATAGACAGGTAGGCACGTTGTCAACATGCACATCAAGCACAGCCACACCGGGGATATCAAGCAACAGCCAATCGCTTGAGAGAAAGATAACAAAGAAAATAAAGCGAGTCAAGCATTAAGAAACGATGACATAAGTCTTAAATTGGTCATCATATGAAATAAGCTACCTACAAACGAATTCGAGATAAGTACACGAGGTCGGAAAGCATATTCTATGGAAATGCCACAAACACGAAAATGTTATCGAAATTAACTACCATTGGCTTAATCGACATGTGCAAGTTTACGGAAGAGCGTACAGGTGGACATTTATATGGGAAAGGAAAGCATTAGTACAAAATTGAAACCCCACCACCTGAAATAAAGAGACCCAGCATGCAAGCACGCGGTTAGTTAATCTAATGCAGCGGACCTACAAACGCTGAGCCGGATCTGCCTACGTTCTTTGTAGGACCCGTCGTCGCTTCTGTAGTGGTCCCGAGTGGCCTCGTTCATGGCTCACTAGGCCTGCCTGACCCAGGCACTTGCGACCGCATGTGCTACAGCACCATGCGCTCGATCTCGATGGATTACAACCCATCGGTGCTTGCCTCTTCTTCTTTGCATGTATGAGGTCTTTCTCCCGCACTTCGGCAACTGTGTTCGTGATTAGATCGCGCCATGCACGCCGACCAACCGCCTTCGAGTCCCATGAGCTGCAATCAAGATTAGAACGTGTGAGAGTCGCAAGACATATGCAGTTGTGAAAGTAACGTGGGGGGCTTCCGCTGCACCAAACACACATCCCACACCCAGCATGAACCTGGCGGAAATACATCGAGTCATGTGGATAGGAGCCAGGACTTGTTCGATGTTGACCCACATGTAATCAGTATGCATATCATTCATACGAACTAAGGGTTACATACATAGCAAGCGTACACGTAGTGCTCTAGATAGTGTGGTTCAATTTAACAACGAAAGCAGCCTCATTAGAGCCTCCGGTTTGTTGGAAGCGAGTTGTGAGGCTATAGCAGCCTTAGCCTCGATTATGTTTCGTCATCAATTGAGACGGCAACAAGCGCCCATTGAAAGTTAATTGCTTAGGACCATGCTTTTCTACTCCATTGCTAAAACATCGCGCCAATAAACATATGACAGGGATCGCTGTTGCTTGCTACGTAGACTGGCTGAACGCCATGTACTCATCGGTCATGACAAAACCAATCCACAGGATGCAGCCGTGTTACCCATGCATTCGTAACTCAGTGCAGTACGCCATACCAGGCTTGGTCTGTCTGCTCATCTATCGTAACGAGACCAGTAGTTTAGATGCAGGCATGTTGCCATTGCAATCCAAAGTCAGGACGCAACGCCATACCCCTCTAACTGGGTAAGGGAATTTTGAGTATACTCACATTTTCTATTGGATAACTGGCAGTTTAGCGTTTTTCCGTGTCACTCAAATGTGTGCGTCGGTTCAACGAGCTACTCAGGAAAATCGCACCACATTTATCAAACATGTGAAGTGAATATGTCTATGGCATAGAGTTTTGAACACTATAAAATGCCGCTTTAACAATACTGGGCTGTATTCGGAGGATGGCTACTTGCCCGGCAAGAAGATGTGAATCCCGTGGTTTTCTTTCGCCTTTTTGGGGACCTTCCGATTTTCTATTATCCTCTTAGATGCTGGCGGCCTCGCGGTACACCTAACCCTCGTGCGACTGATTGTGCTCGCGTGTCAGCGAAACGTCAGATCTGCGTCGGTGTACTGTTGATGCTTCCTTTTCTTCATTGACAAGGTCGTTATAGTTGTGCGATAACCAAGTGCTAATAATGTCATGAATGTTTGTTCGCGCTACCTAGGCTAGCTACGTGGTGCTGATAGATCTATTTTCGTCAAAAGCAATCCGCTTATAAGTTGGATAGCACGGAGCGCCTATCTTTCTCATTTCGGTTTATGTGAATCGTGCTTCATTACTGAATTATATCTGTGGGTTTTTAGGTCACGTCTGTGTCACTTGTAATGATTAGAGTTGACCAATAAGCATTAAAGTCACAAAATCATGATTCAAACGGAGTTCATAAGATTATAGGTCACCCGGTCAGAATATCAAGATCTGCAATGGATTAGAGTGAATTTATAAACCGATCCCTGGGTCAAGCCCACGCATTCGGAATCATGGTGTATCGTGGCACGTGGGTTGCTCTTCTTGTGATTGCTTTGAGCCAAACTTTCAGTAAGTGATTTACACAAGGACTGTAAAATGCTGTCCTCTTTTTATAAATTACAATGCTTCTACAGCTTCCATTGTTAACGAGTGACAAGCCCATGTACTGCCTAGTTGTTTAGTTTTGCAGTGGTCTTGCCTCTTCGATCATCGTCACGTCATACTCCGCTGTGAACTTGGCCAATTTACTGCAATCGTACCATACAACGACTTGCAAACGCCCTTAATGCGCTTCTAGGTTATTGAAGACAGCGAGACATCTCAGATTGTGTCTCGAGTAAACTTCGCCTGTTCATATGGTTGAAAACAATCGATCTGCATGTTAGTTCCTTTGACCGTGTCCTAAACGCTCCTTGTTGTAACGCTGACCTGTCGTCACACATTGCCTAGTGCCGCGTCCAAATCAGCCGGGGAAATGCAGAAGAGACAATGTGACTGACCAGAGAGGATTTATTAGAATTATTCATGGTCATATTTATAGGTCGAACATGCCGTCACATTGAGATTCGGGCTGCAAGCTTCCGCCCCCGTACGCCAAATACGTTGATGTCCGCTGCAATCACATCCTGGCTGTCGTGTAGACTCCGCTAGGCTTCAAGTATCCGCCCCCATTAGTAGTTTGACACCGAAAAGTTCTCTCACAGGTCGCTGCTCAGCAATCTTGGCACGGTTCACACGGCGCCCACGCGTATGACTGGGTATTCGGTTCGACTACCAACGTGGGCGAGAGTTCATTGAGTTAGCCGACTTGTTTGCAGACCGTTGTTTAGCGCCGAAAAAGCATACCCCAGCAAGAGGCTTTTTGCTTCTCCATCAGATAGATTCGCTGTGTCACCTAGTCTTCTTTCTATCGGCTGTTTATTGCTTTCTCCAATAGATGTTTACTCGTTCGTTTGATTCTTCAAACTTACATAATTACTGCATTCACCAAGTGTAATATTTTTCATTATTCCACGTACCTGATACTACACAATTCGAGCAGACGCTTGCCCTAGGTTTCATTTTAATGGGACAGCGGTTTCATGCTTTCTGATCACACGGATACTTATTCGGTTCAGTAAAGCATTTAAGACTATAAGTTATCCTTTGTGGATACTGATAGCCAATAATATGACTATATAACTAGCTGTGAACTGGCGCGACACATATTATCATTCTGCTGTTCATTTGTCCGCCGAACCTGGCAACTTGATTGTGGACACTTCGTTACTCATCGAGGTGGCATCATCTGTGCAGAGGTGGCTGCGGCTCGGTAGCGAAAATTTGTACCAGATACATCCAGAAATAAACAAAACTTGAGACCAAATCGCCAAGCTCGGCGAACGAATAAACAACCGAATGGTCAATGCGAGCTACCATTATCCAAAAACATTTTGAACGTCCTTTACTGTTTACGTTGTCTCGATGACTCAATATGTTTTTAGGTGGCGCTTAACAATCACTTGCACTTTGACGTACTTAGCAAGTTAGTTTACAGACACTTAGACTTGTAATGTCGTTTCCTTTTGTCCAGCGGCGACGCAGGCAGTGAACTGCTACCATGACACGTACAATCAGGCGACGGGAGCAGTTACTCAATCCACGGCAATGAATTGTGTGTTCTGCATCGTAAGTGGTTGTGATTTCCTACGTACTACATAGTGCTTCATACATACTCCTGCATGTCTTCCAACATCTTAAAAGAATGCCGCATTGTAAGTTTTACTTTGTAATAAATGCACTTTGGTAAAGCGTGTATGAACCGGCACACCCGTCCTGACCTGGTCACTTAGGATTAGAGGTCCCAGCTAACATAGATACGGTCCTGGATTCAAGGTATGCTCTCTCTATCTAATGCCATCTAATCATATCGAAACGCATGGTGGGTTACAGTGTTTCAACTAGGCAACATCCAAGTTCCTACTGCTACTGGGACATCTTTCCAGTAGTTTGACCTGAACTAAATCCTATTCCTATACATTTGCTATCGACAACCAAATATTAAAGTACCTTTACTTCAGAGGACCAATTATCACGCCTATTTCGAAATCCAGTACTCGCTTAATACATCATAATACTACTGTGAGACGGCGTTAGTTTTCCCAGAAGCCGTTCCTAAGTTAACTGACATCGATCATTTACCAAGGCACTGTTCCCATTCAGACTAAGCGGGGTGTTGCCCGGAGAGGTGTAGTGTACAAATTTTGAAAAGATTTCTTTTCAACCATCTTACCTAATTCTGATTCATAAGGTTAGCAATCAAAACATGTTTTTAATCCAAACTGATGTCTCAAATGGGTCGTCTTCCCGCGGTGCTATTCATATTGGCTTGTTGCCTACTACAATCCCTGTAAATGTTTAATACCCTGACCACATATTTTCCAAACCTTGGAAGGTGGGCCCAATGCGCCCCGGCGTTTATACTGTGTGTTCTCCAGCTTATCGTGTTTAGTTATTACGTTTTTAGTTCGAAGAGTCATACGTAACAATGGCCACACGCAAACCGCATCGTCTATGCAGCACACGCTGCTGGCCCTACGAAACCACGACTTCCAGACGCGTTTGTTGTCAGACGGACCTATGTAATCCGGACTATAACACAGGTGAGCAATCTGTGGATTACCAGATGCATACTACTGATTAAGGTAAGATCAGTAATATCTTGAAAGCTGTTTCATCCAGTGAGTCACGAATCTTTTCCTTTCTCATTCCTTCTGGCAGCAAAGGCAGCTGAAGTAGCAGGCGACCCATAATTGCCTTCGGTAAGTTTTATGTAGCACTTATTGCTGGGTTTTCGCCCTATCAAACGGGTTTATTTTCTACGTTCTTGCGCCAGGTTCGGTAAAGTGTTTTTATTATTGCCTTCATAAATGGAGTGATTCTCGTAACACTAGTGTTAGTATACGGTCATTGGATCGGTGTTGCGCTGTACTTCAAGCAGACGAAGAGAGGCGACGTGACTGTGACGGCATGCACTGATACTCAGACAATCACAACCAGCTGCCAGCTCAGTTTAACAACTAAGATCCGAAGACCGAAAGCCTCGGCGGATCCAATTTCTATGACTTCCTTCGCCAGATTTACAATAATTACTCACAATTGGGATGTACCGTAAGGATACAATGTTTGAAGTAGAACACGAAAGAATGGTTGATATTAAAAGGCAGGAAGATTTGATTTGATTGCGATGTTAACAGATGAACGTATGAGATCGGAATGTGTGGGCACCAGTAAGTCTGCAATCTTATCATATCAGAGAACCTCCTGTCATTCACATGGCTGATCCCGGGGACGTCGTGCGCGAAGCGGGCGTGCACTAAACTGACCAAGTCCGTCTGGCAGTGTCTTCTGCCACAACAACGACTTACCATATTGTCGGTTCATCAAAGTGGGCACAGCGGCAGGATAAAATCCACCCGAGTAGAGCGGATAGCGGGCATACGAAAGACACGATTTAGCCAAAGTAGGTGGTTAATCTATGGCAAACACTCAATGAGATATCAGACGGATACTTACCAATAACCATCCGGCGGACTTTGACATTACACCCTGTCTTCCCACCAGATGTGAACACAACTCCGTGAGAACTGGCTGTCAGAGAAGACCAACTGCTTGTAGTGTTCATTGGGCTTGAGCATGAATATAACCCATGCGTCAACACCGTCTTTACAATACCGTTTTACGTCTTGACGCATACGAACCGGTCACTATATTGTCTGTAACTTCAATAAGCCACACAAGCTCCATTGGTTTCCGCAGTATGGAATCCTTGCTTGGTTACAGTATTGCGAATTTTTACGGCTGTGTTAAAGCAAGTCTCAATGATGTTCTTCCTCCGGATAATGCTGTATGTCGACCAAGTATCCTCTTAGTTAACGATATTGGGATTCGCTTGCGCATCACATTACATAGCCTTTCTGACGTTGGTTTTGATCAACTCAACGCGGAAGCAGATTAGGTGATTTACTCATACGTACTCTGGCAAGTGTTCACCTTCTCCCTTCACTGGAATTTACTGGCTCATTGTTCGCAGATGGCTACGTCTACAAACGTTTGGCTCAATCTTTGAGTCTGCTGCAATCTAGTGTTCTTGATTTCGGCCGAGATTTCTGCAGTCTTTTCAGAAGCACGACCTTTCTTTCGACCATTTTTTTGCTTTACTCTGTTTACAAAACCCTATTTCGATCGAGAAGTAACACTAATTACCCAATGCACTGAATGGTTTGTCTTAGTTCTTGGTAGCTCTTGGCAGATGCATCTCATTAAAGCACCTGTACAAGAAGGCAATATGTAGCCATCTGGTTAGGTTATGGCTTAACGGGAATATGCGTTTATGTCGACCAGTCATTCTCAACCTACCTGTCTATTACCCACTACCTCGTCTATATTGCCTCCAGGAGACAGTTGTTCGTTGCTGAAGGCGACGGGGTGCACGGTCCTCGTGACCGTGATATGCTCAAAGTATGGTTCCATCCATGTAGTGTGGAGCGGACTACGGTGAAGCCACCGCCTTGTGTGCGCTTGTTTCCCCAAATACAGCGTGCTTGTGTTTGCCTGTGAAGGAGCCTGGGCCGGATCCGTTGATGAAACGTGGCTCCCCTGCACATACATACCTATCCTATTCCTTCGGATTTACACTGGAAATGGGTACATTTTAATGGAGCTGTGGGTGGTTTAGCGAAAACCACCCACGGTCCCTCTGTAGGCGTAGGCGTCATGTAGCTGGTCCAGTGACAGGCAAATCGGAAACCGGATGCCGCCAACCATTCACAATTTTTATTCAGCCTTGGCCTTGAGACTTTCCATTTCCACTAGCCTCCACCCTTGATCATCACAACTTCAGCAATCCGCAACTCCTAACAGACGCAAATCTGTGATTTCCAGTGCTCATATTGGTATCTTTTGTTATGAGGGCCAAACTTGTAGTTTTGGTATCATTGCTGCTAACCTTTAAAGCCCTCTTGTTTAACTTTGCTCAGCTTTACTATAACAATCATTTTGCATCAACATCAAGCCACTTGTCTGTAATTACACAAACGTTATCGTTAATATTAAACATTGTAGTTACTTATTGTTCGCTTTTTTCTGTAAGGCATATCATGTGTTAGGCGGTGTATTAACTCCGTAGCAACATGTTTGTCGAGAAATTAATGCGAACCTTGAGCCTGATGACTTTGAGCAAGCTTGCTTACGTCCGACTCCAGACTTTACAGCGAGAGTGGAATATCTCCTCTTGCCATGATGTCCAATCTGTTTCTACGTTTTATTAGAGAAACCAGTCTGTTAAGTCCATATGTAGCTGTGTATGTGCCCCATGCTGAGGCTGATGTTGGATTCTTGATGCTTCTTCACCGCAGGTGGGCTAAACCAACTTACACTTAAACTAGGTCTTTTCAGCTGGATAAATTTCATTCCGCTTTATTTGGTTTGTTCTGCCTCCCTGAATAATGTTCTATTAACTGGCCACGTTGCTTACACTAATTGCGCTTATCTTCGGTAATTTTGTTGCGTTTGTAGCATTTTAAGTAACTTGTGGACATTTCTTACTTATCACGGATTTGTTGCTGACCAACTTATTTCATATGGTAATTTAGCGAAGAGTTATGCCACCGTATCTGTATGCATTATTGGATTTATTTTATTTCAGCTTGTTGTTTAAATTAAATGGCTGTAGTTTGATATCTCTGGTATGGTTGCGCTTGATGTGTATGTTGACAAGGTGCCTACCTGTCTATTACCCACTACATCGTTCATACTGGCTCCAGGAGACAGTTGGTCGTTGCTGGAGGGGACGGGGTGCACGGTTCTTGTGGTCGTGCTAAGCTCAAAGAGCGGTTCCATGAACTCAGTGTGGAGCGGACTACGGTCCAGCCACCGCCTTGTGTGCGGTTGATTCCCCAAATACAGCGTGCTTGTGTTTGCCTGTGAAGGAGTGTGGGCCGGCTCCGTTGATGAAACGTGGTTCCCATCCGCATGCCTCCCGGTCTTATTCCTTCGGGTTTACACTGGATATGGGGTATGTGGTTGGAGCTGTGGGTGGTGCAGCGCAAGCCATCCATGGTCCCTCTGTAGGCGCAGGCGTCCTGTGGCTAGCCACAGTGACAGGCAAATCCGAAACCGGATGCCGCCATCCATGTGGATGAAAAAGCAAGAAAATATATTTCAGCTATTTCCCACAGTCTGGGGCATCTGCGTTTCTAAAATCCTTCTTATATCGCGTGCATTTGGATCTTTTCGAGTGTGTCATTCTTAAGACTTATGGGACATTCCAGGATTTCAGCTGCAACATTGCAGGGTTGTACATCAAATGCATCATGAATCTAAATTTGCACTTGTCAATCTGGTCATTAAACCTGTCTTTTATTTCGTTTCGGAATACTTGTATAGGACTAACATAAACAATAAGTTGAGCACTGTGAAAATTCCCGACGTCCGATGTTCTGAGCATATACTTCCAGCTTTTTAAGAAATGCACTAATTGGATGTTCGCTGTAGATGATATTACTCAACTTGCCTTGAAGAGTTCTATTAAATAATTGCAGTTTTTCAAAATCATCAACCAGATGAAACGCAGATGGTTTAGCTGTACACAGTTTTCTTTCATAATCAGTCCCGGCAAGGAATGTGATGACAGGGTTCCAGAGTGCAACAAAACGGGGAATTCAGTTGCCACTGGAGTGCCATCTAACCTCTGTATACGAAAGTAAAACCTGGAAATCTTCGTTGTTCTTCTCACACAACTACTGAAAAAGACGATCTTGAAAAAGGTGCGGATTAATATTGTTGACTACTGTTCTGCATGTATTCGTGAGTAGGGAATTTCGATGTAATTAATGGAGGTTCACCGTAGCTAGTTTCCAAATCAGATAGTCGTCCACATGCCCCGGAAAAGCACTGGAATGCAGTTTCAGCCTGTTGGGCATCGTCAGTAGTGCACATCCATTGGATACGACGCGCTATATCGCAGTTAGCTTGTAAATCATGACGGTCCGAAGCTGTCCCCCGTGCCCAGTAGCATAGGCTGCTGACTGGCGGTTCAAGCCGCTTGTGGTCATGGGTTCGAGTCCTGATGGGTTCGATGGATTCAGACCACTAACGATGCCCAACAGGATGAAATTACAGTCTGGTGCTTTTCCGGGCATGTGAACGACTATCTGATTTGGAAACTGGCTGAGATGAACCTCCTTTAATTACATCAGAACTCCATACCCCTGAGTACATCACACTATATCCGCTCTGACAGTTTCTAAATGCTATGTCGTACATAGCTACTGTTAGTGGACATCGTGTCTTTCGGGGCCAACCTTGTCCTCTGCAACGTTCGTAACTTGCACGACATTGGAGGATAAGACGCGTTGTATCACAGTTAGCCTGTAAATCATGATGGTCCGAAGCTGCCCCCCTTGGCCCAGTGGCATAAGCTGCTGACTAGCGGTTCAAGCCACTGGTGGTCATGGGTTCGAATTTTGATGGATCCGATGGATGCGCACTACTGTCGATACCCAACAGGCTGAAACTGCAGTCCAGTGCTTTTCCGGGCATGCACACGACTATCTGCTTTGGAAACTGGCTACGATTAACCTCCCTTAATTACTATTCTACAAGTTAACATTTTATCGTTTAAGCACCCTCCCACGTTCTTAGCCACTAGACTCTCTTAGTGAATCCCACAGTGAATTGTATGAGCAGAAGGGAGACAAGTTTTTAAATTTACAATGAAATCTCTCTATCTTCCGACCTGTTGCATCTGCAACTACATTTTGCATTGTGATGAATTTTTCAGGCAGATACCCATTGACTACCTCGAGTATAGATTGGCCCTTTGTATGAGTAGTATATATCTTGACAAGCGGCATCCTCTTCCATTAACTCATTATCATTAAGGAATCGGACCTATGCCGCGAGAAGAGCGTCATTATCAGATAAAGTAGAGTAATCTACGCGTAACGAAAATTTTCTGGGCTGTAGTAAGGTAACTACGATACTTTCTATCTCCTGAACCATCTCATCTATTCGCCTAGATAAAGTTGATTTGCTGAGTAGAATGTCTTAAGTTGCTTCTTGTGAATTCCTGTACATCAGGCCTGACAGTATTAGTGATACTGAAGACAAGACAATATTTCTCTATGTGGACTGCAATTTTTGGTAATCAGTTTGCTGCTTTTATTCGATGCCGTAAGTCCATTTGCCCTTTTTGACCTGTCAGAAATTATTGTCTTTATAGTTTGTATGTTTTCGAAGCTGTCCCGCAGCCCACTAACAAAAATTCACAGACTTTCCGCTTTCCTCCCTTATCAATACTTTTCAAATGATTTTCCAGTTTACATGGTCGCATACTTTATTTGAAAGAGTGTTATGGAAAATTAAACACATACGTAGAGGGGGGTTTGGAAGTGATGCGCTGAATCCAAATGACAGTTATTCTACGGAGTACTGCCGAAACTGATTCGTTGCCGAGAAAATCATTTCTGAAATATGTCCTTATAAAGTGTCATTATGTACTATAAGTATACGACTTTTGTTTTAATATTCAAACACAGTTATATCGTTTGCAGCAAATAACATCATTCGACATGGCGAAACATACAGGTAGTATTAATACTTGGTGGCATTACGTTTCTTCTTGCTTTACCGTGAGAAAAGACACTTTACAAGCATGGTTGCAACTTCTGTTGGTGGCTACAATTTTAAGATATATAATTGTGCAAACAGTGTTAGAGGCTACCCAAAGGCAGTTTCTGAGGATGGCTTTGAAAACACCATTGATGGCTAAAATGACCGAAGAAAAATTCGTGACAAAAGCCAATGAGGAAAACAAATGAAACCCGGAAATTGACAACACTCACTAGATACACATGCATTACAGGAACATGTCGGCAACCATTGGTAACAGGTAAACTGAAGGATAGAAGAGATAAACATGGAAGCAAATGCCGCATAGTTCAAGGAACTGGCATGGGAGTGTAAACAACGAAGCGAAAAACTACAACAACCGGTCCAAACATGGTGCCAAATGCGTGCTTGCGATGCATTTGTTTCTTGTACTTACAAGGATAAAGATCCTTAAGTACACATTATGTTATATATACTCACCAAAGCAACCGGATATCCTCACGTAAGATAGTGCCCCACGTGGGCAGAGTAGTCACTGGAAGTCGGAAACTTGCGGGCTAATGTGGCAGCCGCCAGACGTACACATGACCTGGGACGGTAGTCTTCCACCATTTTAAACGTCAGTTATATGTGTTTTCACATCAATACTTTTAATGAGACCCCTTCCTTATCACCATTAGAAATACAGACTGACAGAATACTGTCAGCTGAGACTGCAGACGAAAAACGCGTAACCTGGCGCTACCGCACCAAGACTCGAACGAGAAAGACTGACAGGCACATGAGTGTCACACAGTGGTACTGTCCTGAGGAAAACTCTGTGTCCGTGTGGCTTTGTGCCGTAACTGCCGCAGGGTACTGACAAGAGTTCCCTAGAGTCACATAAACTTGCACAACAGATGCATCAGTGTTCTGAGTAAACCTCAGTTGGTTCACTGTGGATAGGCTTCAAAATGCGGAGGACGAGTCGTGTGTTAGTTGCGCAGTCTAAGTCGCCGTGTGGTGATTGTATGTTTAAGGTGATCCCGGTGAAATCTGCGCAAGTTTGGCGGGGCTATGCCAGCTCCGCAACAGAAAGTCGGCTAAGCCTGGCTTACACACCTTCGTAGACAGGCACGTGTGCACGCGCAATTCCTTTTACTGACCTGTAGTTACCAGTGGGGATTAGTGCGCGGAAAGAAACTATTGGAAAAGTATTTTTAACTGAATGCCGTTACCTGTGTTATCACAACTCCCCAATGGCCCCCTAAAATTTTTCTCCTCGCAGGGCCCCCTCTGAGGGCCATATGGCCCCCGTTGAGAATGGCTTATCTTGATCCCGTGACCATGTTGGTTTGCAGCACTAGCTCAGTTCATTAGCTATGATCGTCGGTGTTGACCAGTAGGATGGCACCAACAGAACTGATTGGCCACATTTCTTTTCCGGAGACTAGACTCGGTTATTTCCCATGAATTATTCAATTCCTCTTCGCAATGCTTTACAGATTGTCTCCAATCATTCCTGTTACAGATGCAATTGACACAGCAAGTGGTCAGACACCAGATGGAGTTCCCTAATTGTATTTCTTTAATATAACATGAATAAAAATTTGCTACTAAATATTTTCAGCCCTGTTGTTTTCACAAACAGTTATCTGTGTATTGGCAACTGGAAGAGAGCTACCTGAAAAAGCATTCGTGATATAAAGTTCGAAAGTAACTTCAGTGAACACTAAACTTAATTAGACAAGGCCGTTTCAAGGAACATGTGCATAACAATAAAAGGAATATTCTTTGTGTCTGTGTCTATTCATCATCATCATTATACACGTCAGCTAGAGGTGAGAAACATCTCAGCTACTGTACCGCAATATATAAAAGAAAAGGAAAATAAATACAACGGTTGCATACCACCTGAGTTACCAGCAACGGATAGGCATCGTTCCGGTTAGCTACCAGCCGGCTACTAGGCAAAGCAAAATTAGTATGTAAAATTATATAACGCTACGCAATGCAATCGTGACTGCAGGGGATGCTAAGATGGACGATGAGGGGCAAAGAAACTCACAACAGGAACGCCACTGAAGTCGGCTCCTACACATGTCAGCAACTGTGGCTAGCCAAACGTGCTCACCGTCTTTTGGACCCCAACCAGGGAACCGTGACACTCCAAACGAGGCCAACTCCGAACTGAGGGCTTTTATTCCTCTGGACCAAGTCATCGCTTGGCCACCCCTCCTCTTCTTCCATCCGCATCCCCGTTGAGCAAACAACGCACGTCGTGGAAGTCGGTGGGCTTGCCTGCGCAACACGTGGCCCAACCGTCGGGGCCTGGTGCCTGAAATGACGGCGCTGAGCGGTTAAGTTCTTTCTCCTGTGCCGTAAAAGTGGCGTCGAACACCCTAGTTACTCACGCGGTGTTCCCACCAGATGTGAGCCAAACTGCGAAGGCACCGATTGTCGAACGTAACTAGTCTCTTCATGTCTGCTGATCTTAGGGGCCACGTTTCGCAAACGTACAGTAGGGTCGCGCGTACCGATGCATTGTACACTCTACACTGCAGGGTGAGAGTAATGTCGCGCCGCCGCTATAGGTGGCGAAGGTTAGCAAAAGCGATTTGAGCTTATGGTTTACGGTTCGTGATCTCGTCTTCAATCATAAGGGCGCTGATAAAACTTCCCAGGTAGTTGAATTTCCGAACGACTTCTAGCTGATCCCCACCGATGGTCAGCGAAAGAGGCGACGCCTGACAATCTTGGAGGAACGCTTTGCAATTCGATGGTGCAAAGCAAAACCCGAAGCGGCTGACAGCCAGTGCTAATCTGTCCAAGGCGGTTTGGCAAGTCTGGGGGCTGTCACAGATGAGGCCAATGTCGACTGCATACTCCAAGTTACGAAGTCGTTCTCCTGAGAGTAGCTCCCCACCTTCCAAGTCATGTTCTGTAAATGCAATCTCCATGACATCGTCAATAGCGAAGTTAAAAAGTGAAGATGACAGCGGGCATCCTTGTCTCACACCGTTGGAGATATTGAAGGGTGGCGACAGCTTGTCGTAAGCTCTCACTCTGCCCGTGCTACGCGCGTAGAATGCTCGGATAATATTTACATATTTTTCAGATACACCTTTCCTGAGTAGGCAATTTCAATGGGCATTTCGATCAACCGAATCGAAGGCACCTTTGATGTCGAGGAACACGACTACGGTTGGCCGGTGCGACGGTGCTCCAACAACTGACGCAAGGTGAAGATAAGTCGTTGGAGCCACGACCCAGGCGAAACCCGGCTTGCTCCTCACGAATCTGGCTTTCAGGACAGCCAGTCAGTCTGTGAAGAATTGTGAAGGTGGGTAGTTTGGAGGCGATGGAGACGAGACTGATTCATCTATGGTTGCCGCATTCCGAACGCGAGCCTCTTTTGAAGATGGGAACAATAACGGAGCGGCTCCAGTCGGTTGGGACAGTCGTCTGCTCCCACAGTTTCACTAGTAATTCATGTGAAGCATAAACAAGAACAGAGCCTCCGAATTTGAAGTGGTCTGGAGGAAGATCATCTAGTCCCGCGGCTTTATTTAACTTCTACATTTCGATCTCACGTTCGACTTCTGAGCGAAAGGGTGGCTCCCAAAGGACAGCACGCGGAGTATGCCGATTACTGGCCGGTGAGTAATCGAACAATACTAGCCGAGTAAATTGCTTTACAAAGTGCTCAGCCCAACTCTCCAATCGTTTTGACAAATTGTGGATAGGTTGTCCACTCTTGTCACAAATTTTATCATTAACATCAGGTTTCACGTATCAGACGAAATAACTTACGATGGTTACCAAGGGTAGCGGACACTTCCATCTCTCACGCACGATGAGACCACCAAGATCCGCGGTCTCTCTTCAGGCAAGCATGGAGCCTTGCTCGAAGCCCTTTGCGAGTTTCATTGTGTTCGATTCCAGCCGGGATATGCCGGCGAGCGTCGATAAGTTCCAGAGACCGCGAACGGACTCAATATCAATGTTTGCCATTAAACGGACCACATGAGGATTTGACTGCTACTATTAAGGACTGGTGAACATGTGACCAGTGACCATCAATTGTCTCCAGTGAGCGCTTACTCAACTCGCATGTCAGCGTACTTCGATACGCATTCAGCACAGCTGGCTTTGTCAGTTGGCTGGTGTCAACGCGCTCACAGGGTCGTCGTGGGTGTCCGCCAAAATGCATCCGCATGTCAGCACATACAAGTGCATGATCGGTGTCCACACATGTGCACCAAATCGAGCAACAGTTCTGGATGTAGCCTCTCCAGCCGTAACTGATAGCAATGTGATCGATCAGCGTCCAAGGTTGGTTCGGGGTTGGTGGGCGCCAAGTCACCCTCCGGCGGGTGCTGTGTCGGAAGTTATTGCTCACAAGAAATAAGCGGGCATCTTCACACAAAGGAAGTAACCGCTCACCGTTATCATTGTGGGAGCGTACATCGTGCTGACCGCCCAGATGAATTTTCTTCGGTGAACAACTTCCCAACTTGTGAGTCCAGATCCCCCGCCAGCACAACGGAGTCTGAGCTTCTTCTGTGACGAAGGAGCTGGGTCAGTTGGCGTTAGATGTCGTTCCTCACCGAATCATCGCTACAGTTTGTAGGTGCGTAGGCAGTGATGATGAATAGACACCTATTAGTCCCGCGCGACTTCGAAAGTTTGAACGAGCCAGCCAATCGGACCGCACACATCCGGCTACTGATTGGAATCCAATCAACCAGAGCAGCTTCAGCCCGGGCACTCAAGACAATACCAAGACCAGCTTGGACGGTGCTCGAAGCTGCGTCGTCACCGGGTAGGCGCAAGGAGAAAATACTGCTTGCGTCCCTTGAAGGGGATCGCAGAGTGAGCACAGAGCTCGAGTCTTGCATGCGCGTCTCCGTAAGCAGCAGATATCGATCGAGAGGGTCTGCAATGCTCGGACGAGTGCTACCTGTTGACCGATCTGAAGCAATGTGGGTACCTTGAGGCATGCCAATGTGAAGGAGGATCGACGGCTCCAAATGGAAGCCGATGAACTGTATTGGACCGCTTAGTTGGACATTGGCTTGTCGACAGTGCAGGAATAACGCTCCGCGTTAGCATGTGAGTTGAAATTAGAAGATAAACACCTAACAAAGCATGTTGGGGGAGGGCCAAGGATGGGAGGTTGCAAGCAGGGGATAAAAGTAAAGTTGGAACGGGACGGTAGGAGCGAAAAAGCGTAAGAGAGAGAATAAGAAGACTGGAAGGGTTGGGCAGTATTATCGAAACCCCTATCCACCCTGCTCGATGCATCACATAGGGCACCGTTGATTATCCTCTACGGTGGCCAGTGCATCAAGCAATTGTTTGCCGAATGATTTATAGTATTGCGTGACTAGGATACTGTCGGTTTGCCCAGGCCTAGACAGGAGAACGATTAGGGTTCACAACCAAAGCCTTTGGTTCAAAAACCTGACCGCAAGGCAGCGGGTTTGGCGTTGGGCTACAAGGAGTCCGTTTTAATGAATAAGGTGCCACCCTCATTCTAAACCCCAACTTGCAGGATCAGGGGTTTGAGTTTGTCTGGCCTCTAATTATTGACCAATGTGGTATGAGTGGCTCTGAAGTTGCAAAAATGCACCACCCAGCATAGCTCAATGGATCGCTGAGGCACACAAACCATCTCACCACGGTAAGGTCCAGCCTCAATGCGATGGATCCGAGATTTAGCATTAGTCAATAGCTGATGTAGGAGGTCCCAGTGGAAGTCGTTCTTGACCGAGCCGCCACTGCAGTCAGCTGGAGCTTACACGTAGATCACAAACAAGTTGCGTCTCTGAAGTGGAAATATTTTGGTGTTGCTCATCCCAAGACTGGCACCTCACGACCGCGGTTTCGTCCTGGTTTGTCTCCTCAGGTGGAGATAGCCCGAGCTTGGGTGGAAATCCGAGCCTAGTGGTTCACGGCTGACACCATACTATTCCACTGGGATTCATGAGCAACGCTTGGTTCAGTGGAAACGAATTCAAGCTTGGAGTTGGAGAATCCGCTGTGCGTTTACTTGTAGCAACCCAACTACACAACGGGTTCTCCAACTCCATCTTAGAAGTTGCGTCTCTCTTCGCGGTGCTTGTTGATTTTACATGAACCCAGAAGCCCAACTGCACATTATCGTCTGTTAATCGAGAACCAGTGCAGCAGTGCCGCTTCGGACTTTCCTCTTAGTGCCATACCTACGCCAGCCAAACCCACTGCGTCTACTTATGGATCTCCAGAAAGACGCAGGTGATATCTGGCTTCGTGGTCAGTGGGGGATGTCAATGTAAGCAGAGTGCTGGGACCTTGCAACCGGGTTTTTAAAAGTCAGCAGACATCAATGTCGAGGGACTCTAGGGTGCGCGCTAGACCAGTTTGCTGTCCAATCTGCATGAGTGTCCGAAGTTTGAAGCACGCCAGACGGAACGAGGTTCGGGGACAAAGAAGAGCCATAGGTTGCACTCCGTGGTTCGCGGCGCAACCGGAATCGCAGCCAGGTTGTTGAATACATGAATCGGGTACCGGAAAGTAAGGATTGTTGGCAAGTAAAATATTGGCTTGTGATGAAGTTGTGTGAA